TGTGCCCCTCTGGCCCTTCTTTTTTTTTTTTTTTTTTTTTTTTTATTTCTGGATGGTAAAGCCTGTTGATGCTCTCCAGGCTCTGACGTTTTTTTTCTTTTTGGGATTTTTGTAAAACTTCTGATACATAATATTGGCCAGCATCTTCACTAATGACCTGGATGATGGGGCAAAGTGCACCCTAAGCAAGTTTGCAGGCAATAAGAAATTGGGTCATCCTGCTGTTTGGAGGAACCTCAGCAGGCTGGAAAAGGCATCAGACAAGAGTCTGAAGAAGTTCAACAAAGTCCTGTCCCCAGTGAGGAATAGCCCTGAGGACCAACAACAGGTTTTTACTGAGCTTAGGGACTTCTACTGCTAAGCAGTTACTAAGTGAAAGTTTAGTAGGTGGTTACATTTTGGATAGAGTCCTAAAGTGCACCTCTGAGCCCCCAAGCAATCTCTAAATATTCCTCTTGCACCAAATCATTTTAATTTTAAGTCAAAAAAAGGCTACTTTCCCACAGGAAGTGGGTAATGAAACATGTTGTTAGTAAACACCTGCCTAGGTGCCTTGTCAAGTTTTACTACTGATGAGAATCAGGGAGTCAATTCAATCAGTTCCATGGCAATAAATTATTATCGAATACAGACTTTTAAAAATGTTTAGGTGCCCAGAAACATAATAAGGCTCCAAATACCTTCAAAAGCGTTGCCTTTGTCTTACCAGCAACACTTATTTTTGGATCAGCTACTGCTGTCATTACACATAGTGCAATATGAGTGAAATCCCAGTTGCAATGTGTGACATCTGATTGCAATATCTGGTTTTCTATAATTAAGAATAGAATTTGTTATATGGCACAAAGAATGATAAGATCATAGTGAGATCCATAAATTTGAGTTTACTAAGCACTCTCTGGGTATTGCTGTAATTTAGATTTTTAATGGAAATCCGGTTTTAGTAACTCCTGCAAAGTATGCTCTTTTCCAATTGGCAAAGAAGCAAAATCAGAACCATGAGGCACATTTTGCTTAATTCATGTTTGTAAATAGCTGAGACTCATTCTTGGCATAAGAAATAATCAACAAGAATCTACATTTTCATCTGAATTATTCAGATTGTTTTCCTTTTAAAAAGGTATTATTTTTCTTCTTTCTTCTTTTCTTCTTCTTCTAAATCACGACTGTATTTTACAAATGAGGAACAATCAAAACTGATGTCACCATAAGCATCATCTGGATATTCCCAGATGATTTTCATTAAAAAGTTTATCTTAAAATTACCAGATATTTATATTAAATAAAGCTAGTGAATGTATATCCAATGTACCATTGGATGTTTCATTAGGTAATTTCTAGAACTACAGGAAAAATATAGTATGGCCAGGATCGACAGTGGAAGCACATGTGGACTGCTGGAAGTATGACATATATTTGTTGTGTCCAAAACCAGCAGATGGTAAGTGATAGGAAGAGGACAGCTATTATTTAGGGTCCAGAAAGGTTTGGCTTCATACTTTGTTTGGGAAAGTAAGGCTATGGTGTGACAAGTAGTAAGGACAGTCTGTATAAAAGTGACATTTTAAAGAGATAGTAGCAAGAACCAAGCAGATCCAAAATATAGTCACATAAATGTGATAAACAGCTGATGCAATCCACATAACACCACACATATTGAACTCTTCTCTATGCCCAAAACCAGAAGCCAAATGGATACATGTTATTTGTTTAAAGCTGGGACTTGATATCCAGTGAGACAAATGTTTTGCACCACCTTATTCAAATGTGCTGTAACCTGTTGAAGAGAATCTCCTAAAAAATACTAGAGGACTCCTAAAGCATACAAATTAGTGATAGGTTGATAACTTTCCTCTCTATAACCATACTCCCACTCAGACTTTTCCCCGAGTATTGAGCTGAACTGAAGAAGTGCTGTTGGATTCACAAATTAGTCCAGATGGCATTTATTCTAAAATTCAGAAAGCTTCAAATCTTTTCTCTTTGTAGTCATGCTTTTCCACAGACCTTTGTAGAGAATTGCCAGCCTCTCACATGCACAGCACCAGGAGCAGGGACAGAGTGCTGTATGTGATTTAATGCCCTGTGTAATTGAAAAGATTTAAACACACAAAGTTACTTTGTTTTTAGGCATTTTAAACTATAGCACTTCATATCACAGTGTATTAGTTCCTTTCATTTCTTCTTTTTATATCTACAATGTTTTTAAATAAAACTTATTCACATAAAGTATGACTGCCTTTATCAGTTTAGGTTGAGTGCAATCACTAATATCTGCATACGAATTTTCAGCATAAACTTACAGATATCAAGAGTGAACATTTTCTTTTCTACATCATTTTAAAATTAAATTATAGGTAATTTTATGTAGATAAGCTTGTAAAAATGTACAAAATCAGTAAAGTTTATAGCCTGATTTATAGTCTTGACCTTCACAGTTTCCAGATCACTGGAAAAAAAGATTGTGAAAACAAGATTGAATCCTTGACAAAAAATTATCAGCAGGAAAGAGTAAGTGCAAAAACCCAACAGAAAACAACCCCTATCTGAGTGTCTTCATTGCTTAAGATTCAAATCTCTCAGGAATGATTGCTTTCGTTTTTGTTTACTAAGGGAATTGTGTAATAAATTAATCAAAAATGATGTGGCAGTCTATTTCTAAGTAGTGCTGATGATCACATTTTTTGTGCGGTAAGAGCTGTGGAATGAGTTTGTAACAGAAGGTGAGCTTAACAAAGGCCTATTCTGCTAATGTCATTTTGCATACTCCCACCATAAACAAAGCCACTAGAAATAAAGCCAAGAGGAAAACAAGAGAGTTCAGAAAAGATGAGTCAGGTTATGCTAATGCTGGTGTTAATCAGAGATGTTAAAGGATTAGGTATGGGTATTTTTGATATTCACCATGTAAGAAAGAAAAGACATTGGAGTTGTATAGAAAGCCCAGCTACCACTACAAAAATCTGTCAGTTTGTAGATTTCAGTGATACCATCTGTGTGTGTGTTTAGTTTGATAAGAGTTTCCTTTCTAAGGAAACTGTTTAAAAATAAAAACATCATAAACATTCCCCTCTGGGTAAGTACAGCAATTCAGCTAGCCAGTGGCAGTGGGAGGGCTTTAGCAAGACCTCTCAACTCAGGCCATTTTCTGTGGTCCATAGTACTTGCCTCTGCCAGTATCTACAGCTGTTGCATTATGGATGTTGGAAGGTACATCGCCACCTATCTCTTATGGAATTATTTTCCATGAGCTTGTCTAATGCCTGCTTGAATCTGATGATACTTCCTCTACAACTTTATTTAAGAACAAACTCCAGAAGTTAGTTAAGTGCTGTTTAAAAAAGTACTTTCCTTTAACTGTTTTAAACTGATTTGTTTCTAGTTTCAATGATTGAACTTTAGTTATTGTAGAATTCAGTGAATGTCACTCACCTTATCTGCTTTCATCATTTTGTAAACCTTGACCATATTGCACATCACACTTTGCCCTAAATGAAGAATCCCAATATTTTCAATATCAACTCACAAGGCAGTTGTTCCATCCTCTGATTATTTTAGTTTTCTCTCTGTACATTTTTAATTGTCCTATGTCCTTCTTGAGATGCAGAAATCAAAACTGCACAGAGTACTTAAAATGTTGGTGCAGCAAGGACTTCTATAGGGCAAAATGATGTGCTCTGTCTTGTTCTCCTTACCCTTTCCAGTGATCACAGAAACATAAAATCATAGAATCTTTTATGTTGGAAAAGACCTTCAAGATCATCAAGTCTAACTGTTAACCTAGCACTGCATCACCTTGTGATGCACAATATTTTCTGGTTTGTTATTTTTTTGTCTGCTGCTGAACATGGACCCAAGTATTTCAGAGATGTGTCAACATGTGGGGACATGACAATTAATGTCCTTTCTACATTAATTCAGGTAGGTTATTAAGAATCCATTGTCAAGGCAACACTGCACTTGCTTTGGAACTGACAGATTTCTAGATTTGGAATCACTGTCAGTGACTTTAAACTGAAATATTGGAAAGGATTACATTATAATTATCTCCTTACTTTTTCTCTTACATCGTACCAGGTTTTCATATCACTGACCTTGAACTTAATGGCATTTTTTCCTACTGAGTATACTGCTCTAAAAATGTTCCAAGTTTATAATAATCTACAAAAAAAGTAATATAGTACACTTGTATATTTCAACTACATAATATGTCCATATTTTTTTTCACTTAACTCATTCATTTCACCTGGAATAGTGTTTACCAAATGTTTTTACAACTCTGAGTGCTCAACCATGGCAGCATATTTTTAGTGGGAGTTGTTACTTGGTATGTTATGTGATACCTACATGTTTTAACTCTTCTAAAAGGGAACCTCATTGCTGATGTTAACAGTTTTGTACAAATAATGTTGTACAAATAATATCCAACAATAGCCTAATTACCTTACTTCTTTCTCATTTTCATCTACCAGCTAATTGAAAACTCTAGCTGATACCTTTGTCAAGTTTCCTATCTCCACTTTAGAAGTTCTTCAGTTTAGTTCTCTGTGGGTTTTTTGAGTTCCCTTGACTCAATTTTTATTAAGACTCTTGTCTTTGACAAGTTTCAAAACTACTGTTAATCTTCAACCAAAATCATCTGTGCTTTTCCTTGTAAGATCTTGTCCTTTACTGGCTCACAGTACCCTGTCATCTACTG